ATTTGCAACCTTAAACCACTGAACTTCTCCATTTTCTGTTTGACTCCACTTTCAACTTTCCTTTCTTCATCTAAATGGGCAGCCAAAAGACAGCAACCAAAACCGGCACTCGAATATGCGTGGTTAATGGTTGTTCAAACTGAACTGAACTGAAGGGTCGAGTGTATGCTGCAACAGTTCGGCCAGTCCTGTTATATGGTGCAGAAACTTGGCCATTATTGAAACAGGATAAAGATAGACTGTCGGTGTTTGAACATCGCTGTCTATGCAGCATTGTACCAATCTGGTGGGACAGCCGGACGTGCAATGCTGAGGTCAGGCGAAAAGACTTAGGCATTCGCGGTCGTCCACTGGAGCAGGTGATCGACGTGCATAGGTTACGTTGGTTGGGGCATGTGTTACGCATGTCACCAAATAGGTTGCCACGGCGGGCGATATTTGCCCAGACAGGTAGTGGGTGGAATAAAGCACAGGGTGGTCAAGCTAAGACCTGGAATGAGGGTATGAAAACCCTAACCAGGAAACTAGATCACATAGACTCCCTGACTGAGGACCTCGGGATGATGGTCACCGATAGTTAGAGACACTGAGCGATACGGCTGGGTGTCGCGAACAGTGGCGTTCGTGCATCTTCTCAATTTCTCTGTATAATTAGTCCGAAAAAATGTTTAATTTTCTCTTTCAACCTTTCCTGTCTTCCTCCTAATGTTCATCCAAATAGGCAGTCGAAAGATAGCAACCGAAACCGGCGAACGATAGTGCATGGTTAATGTCTGCACGAACTGAACTGAGCTGAACAGATGGATTTGACATTTTTCAAGATGCTCTGATTGTAAACTTCAATAAAAGGTGGTGGAGTAGCCACCTTTGTCAACCGTATGTGGTGTAACAGCTCTCATCTTTTGTTTCATTTTAATACTAGGAAAATCAACTGCATTTTCGTTCAATGTAAACTCCATTTCCTTAGTAATTTCCATCAAATCCTGCAAGCAAACATTCACATTGCCACTGACACGCACACTTCTGACATCCGAATGTTTTCCGACTCTTTCTCAACACAATTTGTGACAGACTTAGACCTGTTACCTTGTGTTGTGGCTGATAATTTTATTCGTTTCGATATTTCTTTCTTAAGAACTTTAGATTTGTTTAATCTTGTGCACTTTCCCACTCGTTCGAAGGCATTTTTGTAAATATCCCAGATGTTAACTCCGGTGTCTTCCAGGGCGCCATTTTGTCTCCGTTCTTTTTTCCCCTGTACATAAATTACCCGCCTGTCCCCACCAACTTTATTACTTGTTAGTATGCGATGTGGTGACTGGGCGCCCCTCCAATACCGATGCTTCCTACCACCAACTTCAAAGCAGTCTGAATGACGTTTCTAGTTGGTTTCTACCCCGATCATTCTTGCTTAATGTTTCCAAATGTTTCGACATTCTTCAGCCTTAAATATGGTTCCCGCTATGAAACTACCTTTAATGATTTACCGGATCTAGTAGTTACCAGTCACAGCATTCCCAAAGCTGACTGCTGAATACCTCGGAGTCGTTCTATCCTACAATCTCTCTTGAACCTTACATATAGAGAACGTTTACAACAAGGTTCATAAACTTTCTTTTTATGCATTCCGGCTTAATAAGCTTGCTATTCCCCAAAATGTTATTTTAAAATTCGTGGTAGCATGCATCCTTCCTCATTGGCTATACTGTTCTCCTGTATTTTTCCCGGCTTAAAAGAAAAAAGATTTCGTATTAATTTCCAGGTCTATAAGATTACAATCCCGATGTAGCGGCATAGCCATAGAGGTTCTGGTTGATTTTGTGCAAATACATCGACGCATGTGAGAGAATAGCCGACAGTATCTTGAACAACGAAGATCACTGCCTGCGCAACGAACTTAGTAAATCTATGTCAAACCCCCGTACCTGCTCCCATTATAGGCTCCTTCCCGCACGCACCGTCGCATACAGCAAGAGCATCTTACATTTTCTTGCTCGCTCTCTAATATACCAGGCACCAATTATTACAGGTTTGTTTGAACACCTCATGAGTTAGTTTATTTATTCATTTTTATCCGTCACTGCAAGCAGTTTTCTGTCGTTTTTTTTTAATTAACCTATTCACACTCGGAGGTCACCCCCCCCCTCAATTTCACTGTATTACCGTGAAAAATCGCTGGAAATCACCCCAACAGGTGCATAAAACTTACTTTGACTTGACTATAAAGTTTGATGTTTGCAAAAATAGGGAAAACAGTGACGAAACACGAGGACTTATGCCACTTCAAAGAACACTTAGTGCTACTTACCAACAGTCGAACGAAAACTACATCGAATTCAATGAGTCAAAATCTACGGTCGTATCGCGTCGCGACAAAACTCGGTTTCCGTACTTCCTGGGTTATCAACAAATTCAGCATGCCTCGAACGAGAAGGATCTTGGTATCCTTGTTCAAAAAGACCTAAGTGGTTTTTTAAACTGTTCCAAGGGGTAGTCCACCGCTGTAAGGCATGTTGGTTCGCTGAAGCGAGTATTTGGTAAATCTGAGCCTATGTTGTTCCCACGTTTGTATCAGCCTACATTCGACCCACATAGAGTACGCCATTCAAGCGTGGAATCCATGGCTGCAACTGGATCGTAAGATTCTGAAACGCCCACAAAGAATGGCTATCAAAATGATAAAGGGACTGGAGTCCAAGACCGGAATCATTGGGACTGTACTCCACACAGTACCGCCTAATTCGAAGGGACTTGGTTTTTGTGTATCAAATAATGCAGAACCCTGGTCATCCTTGTCATTCACTGTTCACCTTGATGCCCAACACCCACATACCTCATGGGTACTCATTCAAATTAGTGCTCCAAAATTGTCGACTAGAATGCCGGTGTCATTTATTTGCCTGAGTGTACAGAATTTGGAATTCTCTATCAACTCACATTGTTTCTGCGCCCACAACTAACTCCTGTATGCACAAACTGGATGAAACATTGACATCCGTAGCAGTGCATCAAAGAAAGAGTATTTGTGACATTCTTCATCTTTCTATGAACCGTCGACCGATCCATTTGTGCCAAACCTTATGGGACAAGAAAAGCAATCGTTGGAGGTATTTCTTGTAATAAAACTTTGAAACTTTGCTGTGAGTTTGTTACTAATCTAGCTTGTTCGCACAGGTCGTACTGAATGAGTACTGCCTGGATACAAACCCAATAACCAACACTGTTATTCATATGAATATTACCAACACTATAACCGAAAACAATGAAGTTTGTTGAACGAAAGTATACACTGACAATCTCCAACCTGAAAATCTCCTCCGCGGAGTCTGAGACTGAATTACGATTTCTGTGAGGTTGAATATCTCAAATAACGGTACAGTTATCCATCACGAAAAATATACATACGCATTAAAACCACAGTGGAAATATTAACATAAAGTGAGCAAATATTTGCGAAATGGATACATGGATTCCATTAATATAGAGACGTACCTGTAACACGTAATCAATGCGTCGACCCTGGTTTAGTTGACTGTTGAAATTCATTTCACCTTCTGAGGAACACGATCCGGCGTCCTCATTTTCCGTGGCGGGAATATCTAACTGGGAAAACAGTCTGTGAGACTCATCCGGGTCGTCACCGTGTCCCTCATTTGGTGATGGTCGAAAACTGTGAAGGTGGAAAAACGGGCAATTTCGAGATGGGAAGCGTAACACCGATGAACATGAGGACTAACATCTTTCGTCAAGTAAGTCAAGTCAAGTATTTGCTTTATGCACCCCGAAAGGTGGATATTCAGCAGTCACAGTCTACCGTCATGTTGGAACCGAACGAGCCTGCGCAAATGTTCTCACCGCCACACAATGCTCTGGTGGTGAGAAGTTTCCCCGACTCGGAATTTAACTGCAGATGGATTGGTCGAGGGGGACCAAAGGAATGTCCTCCAAGATCACCTGATCTGTCCCCCTTGGATTTCTTTCTGTGGGGATATCTAAAGCGAACAGTTTATTCCCGAAAACCGAGAACGATCGAGGAGCTTAAACAGAGNATTCAAACTGCTACCATTCTGAAGGTGGAAGAAAACTATCTTCGCCGTATTTTGCTATGCAAGCAGCAGGATGGAAAACATATGAAACAACTTTTATAATATAAATACAATTTTTTACGTAATATTTGTTCTTTCTTTCTTTCGGAATTCTATCTCCGACGTAGTTAGCGAGGTCGATCAACGCGAAAACAACCAGTTGGGAAAAAACAAGAAGAGTTTTGCGTGGGCCTACATTAGAGGATATTGTTGTCTGTTATTAAGTCAGGTTCAAAGTTTTATTATGACTATCTGTTTACCGAACCCGCTTCGAAAAATAGTGCGTGTATCTTAGACGAGTCAAGCGTTGAACCAGTGTCATCATCACTTGAGCATTCTCCATTCCGAATTTCTCACATGACGCACCGCTCCACAACTGATTCTCTACCAACACTTAGGCAGCATCGGATACGGGACCTATCCCCCTCCTGTGCCGACCCGAAAATCACACGACCGATCGGGTTCGTTTATCGATCGGTTGAATGGTTCAGCCGCAACAAAGGACCTGGTGCTTGCCCAGCTAACCCGAGGGAGAAACCACACCTTTTTTACAGCTGTGAGTCTCAGGCAGACCCAGTGAACTTCGACTGCGCAGCAGGAGTGCCATCAGCACACAGATGGACAGGACGTAACATTACAAAACGTATAAACCGGTAATCAGACAGTCTCGTATTAGGGTGAGGGATTTCAAGCGCCGCAGATCGCGGAATATGATCCAATCAGGGTCTGAAGGAATTTACTTGTTTAAGGTCACGAGTGAGAGGGACGAGACGACGGTAAACGATGGAGCAATCGCATTGTAGGAATGGATGAAATATAACTGAAAAAGAAAAACGGGGAATGAATGGCACCCTGTAATATGTCTAAAGTAGAAATTAGGGAAGAGGAACAACCAAGGTAACGTGTGCACTGTGATCGATTTGTGAAATAGTTAGTGAGTACTGCAGTAATGGTTTGCGATATTCCGTTTGAAGACAAAATACTTAACAGCATAGACCTGTCAACACAATTGAAGGTGTCAGTGTAATCCAAGAAACAAATTCTGACAGCTTTCTTGTTTCCATCAAATGCTGACAGAATGTAGTGAACCAGAGAAGCTAGGGCATTTAGGGTGGAGCGAGAGCGACGATACGAAAATTGGTTTTGATCCTGCACATTCATCTGAGATGACATTCCTTGAAGGAGTAACTTCTCAAAAAGCTTCAACACAACAGACATACATGCAACGGGACGGAATTTTGAGGTGCTTTCTTTAGGTACTGGAGTAATTGAGATAGCTTTCCAACAATCCGGTATAAGTCCGTTTTCCATGCACTAGTTAAACAGAGCTGTGAGCACTGGCGAAAGTGTGTGAGCGCACCCCGTAAGGATGGTAACCTCCAACCTATCGGGAGCGGGTGATTTGTTGGGTTTGATTGTCAGCAACTCTTTCAGAACATCCTGTTATTGAATAGTAAAGGGTTCTTTATTGCTGGGGTCGATGTTTGTGCTGGTGATGATTGGCCCCGTCCCCGTGTTGTTGGTACTTTTGTTGAATGTTCTATTTAGTTCCTCAACGTCTATTGCTGTTCGAGACACGACTGAGCATTGACCACTCAGTTGCTTGATGGTGTCCCAGGTTTCCAGGCAGGTTTTGTTGTGCAGGAGTGTACGAGTGTAAATGCCGTTCAGTCGATGTAGCTCACCTTTGATAGCAAGAGATAAGAGTTTCACTCTTTGAAGATCTTTGCTTTTGTATGCCCTTTCCTTGCTTCGACGTAACTGCCTCAGATGGGGAGACGAGATGCGGTCACACCGAAGGTATAGCGTCTCCCAGGGGCAGCATATATCGTAGCAGAAGTTTAGATACTGTGTAAGGTGATCACAGTAGATGGAAGGATTGGGGTTGTCGTACACACTGAAGTCCGTCTGAGAGACCGTCACATTGAGCTTCTCTAAGTTCTCTTGGTTACATTGACGTTTTCTTCTTTTTATGTCACGGCTTTTTGTGAACGATATGTGACTGACCGTGCTGCACACTTTTGGGGAAAATTTAATAAAGACATGGTCTGAAGACCCAAGGGGGGAGCGGGAAGATGCGAAAAAAATGCTAGTACTATTTACAAAACACTTGTCTAAATGAGCATTTAGTCTTGTTGGGAAACTCACTATGTTTGTCAAACCCAGAACGGACAAGAATGATATATCAACACGATTGAACTCACCACAGACGATACACAGCGAGAAATCAATAACTCATTAAATAGTATCTGAAAAATGTAGAAGTTCCTCTGAGGGACAAGCAGGATAAGTATTAATGTTAGCTAAGACGATTGACCGATAGTTACTGAGGTGCTTTGGCTTGCATTCATTTACGGAGGCACATATGTGACCAGTGGAATGAGCAAATGTTTGCTTTACGTTCTTGCACCAATTGTTGTTGATATAAGTCACCAGGCCTCCTCCACGCTGCTGATATGTTGCCGGACGGTCGACACGGTATCCAGTGAGGCCATCGATTTTAGTAATCTGTTCATCAATTTCGCTATGTAAACAGGTCTCTTGTAAAAGAATTGCGCCTAAGTTAGAATATTCCATACGGCGCACAAGATCAGATATATCTGGTGATTTTCCAGCAACGAATGGACGTTGTTGCTGATAATGATGGGTATGCGTAGTTGTGACAAAGCTCTTTGACGCAGTGCTACTCTCCAACCACCTCGATGCTTCCTCCAATATCCGCGAGATTTTCTGCGAATCCTTTTGTATTTATTTCTCACTGATTTTCCAAATTCAAGTACTTCATGAGGCAAATTACGGTTCTTGATGTTTATCATGAAGGCGTTATGAAATTTCGCGATTGGCATCATCGTAATTGCACAATGCNTAGTAACAGCTGCTTATTTGTGAACCCCGCCAATGCCGATGGGGCACAATCAGCATCGGTTTAAAAACAAACTTTATATGATTCACTGGATAATTCAGAAGATGTTCCATGAGCAAAAAGGGTAGGAAATTCCCAGACAGTGGAGAATGAATTCAAATAAAAAGGGATAACGGGTCCAAAACTGGAATTTCTCAGGCGAGGTGATGATTTTGCAAACAAATAAGAGAGCCCTTAATATGTTGAATAATCAGTGAGGAACCGATGGATGGAATAAGAAGAACTAGTTTAGCGATTGCGCAGTTATCTGTATGTAACGAACCACATAAAACGACTCCAAAAGCAAAATAGATAAGTCCCGTCGTTTTGGTACTGTAACATACCGATCAAAATACAAGTGTTTAGATGGGATAAGGGAACTGCAATTAATGAAACTACAGGACAACCATGCATGGAAACGTTTACTTCTAAACGTACCGATGTGATAAAGCAAAGTCTTGCAGTGTGCGCCAAGTGGAATGGACTGATTGAAACAATTTGCTTTTTAAATCCGAACCAACACGAGCCAGATTATCCTTTAAGCGTAAGTGCAATCTCTTACCACCCTTATGGTGCGGCATAAGGACGGCACGAGGCTGAAATAGAATGTTAATGAAAACAACCATTGAACGACAGAGTAGGGTGAGACAGCTAATTTTGCATGTTCACAGCATAGCGCGAGGTAAATTGTGGTGAGAATGACGAGATACCAACGGAATCAGTCATCCATAAATAAGGGTAGTGATTATTTTGTTCAATTGTCAGTTCCGTTAGGTGTGCGCTACAACCTCGCCGAAATGTGATATTATGAAAAGTTTCCACTCCAGGACGGAGATAAAACACAATGGCTTAGCCAACAAGTTGGCTTTCGATAACTCCTTCCGGATAATACAGTCACACAGTAGCAACATTTAGATGTTTACAGACCATTTGTCGATAGTATCGGTTTATGGCATGGGGCCGTTAAAATCTTCTGTACGGTCAGGGATCCATTTGGGGTTGTGACTGTCCATCGCTCGTAAAGTGATTCAATATTTAAACCCTGCGCTTTATCCTCACAACTCATGCATGAAATCACTCCGGCCACCTGAGCCCCAATTTTAGTTTTTCATTTTATTCAACAATTAGTATTGCACATCCGTGAAAAGCGGTTTTGTTCGATGTTGTCTGACTGAGGATAAAGAAGTGAGGCGAGAAAATTAAAAAAAATAGGAGCAGTATCAACGTGCAGTTAGAGATACCAGATTTGCTAAAAAGAAGAAGTAAATGCACGAGCAATAATCTGACACTAACACTTGGGATTGACATGGTATTTTGCACGATGGTGGGGCCAAAACGTGAAACATGTTTACATCATGAATATTTTCAAAACTGCAGTCCAACACATCTTGCCTCTCTACCTGTTCCCAGCCATACACACAAATCACGGAAACGGATACATTTAGTTAGACCTGCAGGTACTCGTATTTCACTCTGAGTTAAGGAACAAGTATTTTTTCAGGAATTCAAGAAAATCCAGATCGAAACCTTATTCCCAATTGAGCTATTATTGGTTAGAATCAAGAATAGAAAAGGGAACGAATAAAGCTTGTAATATGGCATCTACCAAAAGAAAATAAGGGCACTGAAATCGAGACTGCAATGAAACCGTGAAGAGTGACTGCGAGAAAACTGAGACAGTATTCCGCTGGTTATACAGCAAATATTGCTTAAGCATATCACTTAGTTTCTTCGAGTCACTAAATATATGAGAGTCTGATTAGGGCAAAAACAGCGAGAAGAGTAGTTGAATAGGCGGCACGAGTGAAATGAGCCAAGATTATGAGTATGGAAGAGGTGACAATTGCAGTCCTCATATGAGAGAAAGAGATGGTGACGAAGATCACTAACCTGAAAGACTGGATCCAGTAGCGTCTCCATGCGATAAGCAACAGGATCAAACGGATGGAAAATATTGAAAAACATAGCACAGTGTGGGAGTTGATAATCACTGGATAGCTGTCGGATTCCACGTGCAGTGAGGAACAATGGTAACGGCGATCCCAACATGAATAGACCGGCCAAAGGAAAGTTCAACTGCGGATACATCACCACTGGCATACCGAAACCGGCTGACATAGGTGCGTAATGGTTCTCAGCCCAGAACGAACGCTGCGTTGCCTGTGTATGACTAGCAACTGGCTTCAGGGTCGGTAATGTTCTTATTCGTCTGTCCGTCGGAGGACACGCATCGACAAGGCTCTCGTTCAACCACGCTCGAACAGCTTTGTGAATTTGATCTTCCGTTAGACCGATACGAGATAACAAATCTGCAAGCTTCGTGGCTTCAACACTGGTAGATACAGATGGTGCTCTCGGAGTTTCACAGCCGGTGGTACAGGATACGTCTTCTACGTGTTGTTCTTCGGTAGCCGGCTTCTCTACTTTAGGTTGCGGCGTCTCCGCCACGATATCGCCCAATCCCAATGGTTGGACCGTCTCTGAGGCGACTTGACGCTGACTATCCTGATAACCGACCAAGGACCAACCATCTAATTCATTTGGCACTCCAAAACTACTGCTCCGACCGCTACGATCGGTTACAAGGACTTCCTCTAAGTGGTCACTCATAACCGCACCCGATTCGGGACGGGTCGGTGGGTGAGCGACAAAATCCACCTCTTCGACGCCGCAACCCGTATATGTTGACTGATCTTCATCGAAAGACACAACTCCAGAAACTTGGCCTTGATGCGATAACAGATCAAACGCAATAACTGAACCCAAACTGTGACCGATAACGGAGAACCCTCCCTGAAGCGAAATGGAAACAAAGAAACGCAAACGAAACCGTTATTGGTATTATTGCATGAACACACACAAACAGTTAGGAAGTAGTGAATTAACGATAGTTTGTTGAAGTCATACCAGAACTGAGCAGTAGAGCTGAGGATCAGCTACCCCACAAAACCGCAATTCCAATTTATTTTAAAATGCGATAATTTCTATGTTCTGAAATTAACCATTGCAAAGTATGTCGGGAGCTTGGTATCATCAGCCCACCTCTTGATAATGATAAGATTTCACCCGATTTTCACGGGTGAGATGTGGTTATCATTAACTATCCACGTGGAAATTAGTGATGGATGCGTAGCCTAATTTGTTGTGTTACTTGTTGTACAAAGTGGAACAAACGGAAAGTGTAACCAGTAAGCCGTGCTAATTCGTATCATCCAACAGTGTCCTGTTTGTACGGCGATATCGAAACGATTTGACCTCGCATTTTTACAATAAATAGTTGAGTGGCTAATACAATTCCGTTCCCGTGACCATGGCAACTAGGATGCTCTGAAACCAGTTCGCATACCTCTTCTCGGACCTTTCAGAATCAGTCTTCGGTTCACGTAGATGAGCTAGTCACCCGTGGTTTGTAAATCCGGCTATAATCTCAAATATTGGCTGTGTCCCTTCACTCACCACGAGAGGTCATTGAGTAGGTCTATTCTGGTAGCTGTATCAAGGGACTAACTCCAGGAAAACGCTCTTCGAGGGAAAGGTGCACATTGTTTGTTAGACTTTTAATCTGAGTCTAAAAGCAATTGCGTGGAACGCATAGCGGCAACATTTCACAAAGAAGTTTAGAAACTAAACACACGAACCGATTGATGGATTAAAACATATTTAAGCATAACGTGGTTTTATTCCAAGAAGGAACTAACAAATAATGAACTAAAAACTGAATTAGCTTAGGTAACATCAGAACCTCACCACTTCGAGGTTCAAAATACGGATACCAAAAAAAACACTTGAATCCATAGAGATAGCATACGACTACAATGATAAGCGGAAGTGTACGGTACAGGGCGCGTGTCCAGGATAAGGATAGAAGAACGGCCATTTGGGTAGCCTACAGTGAATAGATGGGCATTGTTCCTTGAACAAGCGGCGTGGACAACCAAGGACAATGTCGGACGATGTGATGAGTTTTGACCTGGAACACGAACAGTCTAAAATCTACATGCACAAACATCCTTAGAAGGATCGGGATGTGCACGAATCGGCGCGATTACTCATTAGGGATTGAGTCATCACTCAGCTATCTTATCGGTATGAGTTGAATGTGCTAGACCTAGAGCAGCATTTTGGAGAAAAAAGGATAACACCAAGAATAACTTTTGTTTCGATTAAAAGTCGATTGTCAGTTCTGAAGCAAACTTGTGTTTATGTCGAAGTTAAAAGCTGAAAAACAATAAGGCACTCATTCTCCATCAAATGAATTTTCCCGTGTTCACCAAATTGATATACACGAACCACCACATCCCCGGTGTGCATGCACGTGTCACAATTATTGGCTAGGTTCGTTAAACCATATAAGAGATTCACAAATCGGCAGCGAAGAAAATCAATATAATTTTAAGGGTACAAGTGTTCAAGCTATAACGGGTTAGTATTTCTTCTTTGGAATAACCGTATACTTAGCTTCACATCGTTTTCAGTTAAGAAATTCGGGACATGTTAAACCAGCCCCTAAAAGTGAATAAAAAGGTCATAGAGCCATGCAAATAAAAACGCTAATTTGTTCCGCAAAAGATGCTTACCGTAAACTCCGGATTGCGAGCGAGGAATAACTTGCGCAACCGGCACATCTCTGTCGCTACAGTGTCAACGATCACCTGACAATATTTCGAACTGGTATAAAACAAGATATCCATTAAAGTGCCATTAGTGAATTGTCGAAGTTTGGGAATACTACGTAAACTGATCTGACTCAACTGTTCATCAATGCCAGTTGCGTCTGAGTGCAATCCATCGTGCCACATGACGGGCAAAAATTCCACCCGGTTGTTGTGGTGTGGAAAGTGGCTCTGTTCAATCTGACGGGTAGTGCGTCTAAGATGAAAGACGAGAAAAGGAGATTAATTAGTTGATGAAAAATTGTCGAGTCGAGAAGGATTAGATGCAACAAATACACTCAGCACTCAGCCGTCGATTAGAGCTGATTAATAAAAACTAATGAGCAAATAATAAGTCCGATTTATCCAGCATTCTGAAGATTCATGAGTAGTGAGATAGCAGTATAGGTACACTGGATATGGGATCATCATCAGGAGCATGGAAGGAAGATGATAGACAGTCCGATCTCTTGGTCCTTAAGGTTGAGGGTTCGACCGGAATTGGTGTAAACTGATGGAGGATTAGTCGATAAAAGTAAATGAGCCTTCAGTGCACCCGCTGGTAGGTTCTTGTCAGAACCAAAGGCTTTGGCTGAGAACGCTAACGGCTATCTTCCTTAGCGGACGGACACAAACCAAACATGATTCCATACTGCATCGGTGGTTGTACAGAACAATCAGGACCGGGCTGTTTATTGCATCGAAAGAGGTGGGTAGTGATTAGTGGGCTAGTGATCAGACATTCTAACTTTGCAGTTGCCGTGTCGGGCGCTTAGAATGGCCACCGAAAAACATGGAGAGCTATCTATGTTTGGCGAAAACTTATGCGTGATCGATTTCGAGGGGAGTGCTACAGTATAATCGTCAGTCTTGCAGGTAACCTCGCTATGTGTGGCTTATAGCGCTGCAGTTCATATGCGTCCGTCGCTGACTCGAAATGTGACTGAGGTCTGTTGTAACTCATTCAAAGAAGTGCCAGAAAACCTAGTGCCACCAAATACCACTATTGTCAATTACTCCGTTATTGGGGGAGGTAGTACCATTGGGTGATGCAGCAGAAGGTATTCAAAAATGAGATAATATTGCAGCTCTTCCTCAAGATCATCACTATATGATCCCTGTAAAGTTTTTCTCGTATGAGTGTATCAGTCGAAGGATTTATTGCACAGAAAATTCAGAGTTGCAGTCTCCGCCACGGGGACTAGACGATCGCCTGTCTCTGGAAGGTATGATGGACACGCACGACCATCGTGGAAACTATCCTGTTTTTAGAGGGTTTGCTCTTTACGCGTATCATACAAGCTGACCTTATTTGTATCCCTTCCATTGACAAAGTCCTAGCAAAGAGGCCTACAAATCATCCATCTACCTATCCATACCACTCTCCTAAACAATGTACATCACTGCCGGTGTTCCCATTTGCGAACATCAGTCCCATCTAGATGCACCGCTTTTGTTGACATATTGTTAGCCTAAAAGGCAAGATATATCCCGAGGGTACTAATGGTCAAGTAAATTTACATCATGCACATCTACTGCTCATAAGGATCAAAACTCGCTTCCACGGAGGCCCATAATCTTCCAGTAAGAGACGAATAAGCTTAAGTTAGCAAGAGAATTATGTATACGACTGAAACTCATCATTGTAGGACACGGACATGGCGTGATCAACTCGAAACAGTTCTTGGACAAGCACAAAACTGTCAACATCCTGGAGGAAGAAATCATGATCCCCTCCAATGTCGACTCATTTACTTCGATCGACTTGAACCTAACCAGATCCTCACTGCGGGAGTTAATAAATGACACAAGAGATGTCAGGACTACATTCGGCAATATCCAAACATGCTGCTGCAGCGACACACTAAAAGAGAAAACATCTTAAAAATGGCTATCCAGAACGTTTTGTGGATAACGTCCTGTGAAATAACCGTCTGAGGGAAAGACTTTCAAGTGCAGAGAAGAAGGCAGTATACATTTCTCTCTCATTCAAAGGGGATACAATCGCAGAATTGGTTAGCCGCAAACTAGGAACTGCGTTGGAGAATACTTTTCACGTGGCAAAATTGCGTATCGTATTCACGTCTAGACCGACCTTGTGTTCGTAACTCAAAGACAGAATTCCTGCTTTTGCAGTCTCATTTTGTGTGTACCAGTTTAGGTGTTCCTGTGGAGCAACGTATATCGGCCGCACGAGCAGGCGCCTATGTACACGAGTTCGGGAACATCATCCGGCCTGGCTGAACACTGGTGTGATTACAACTACTACAAGTGCCATCGTTTCACACCTCGTCGAGTCCGATCACACAGTGAGCGTGACTGAAGCATTTCGGCCTCTCTACTGTGTTCGAGGTCGCAGATCAAAACCGACTAAAAATCGCATCCTAGCCACCGCAGAGGCGGTTGGAATTCGTCTACATGATCCCCCCTTGTGCGCCCAAAAACAGTTTGTGAAGTCACTCAGCCTACCATGGCCCGCCACCCGCTCCCATCCTCATGCTCCTCCACCTTCTCCCAATCCCACCCCAACTCACACACGGACCAAGCGTAAGTTCTGATGGCAGGATCAGCCACTTGGCACCGAATCGACTTCACATAGCCAACCAGCGGGGACGATGATGCCGGAGACACGATTTTTTACAACTTTTATCCTCATTACGATACAGTATCGAAGTGTAGTGGACACCTCGGATGTTTGACTGCGTCCAAAGGGCGTATGATCTGATGTGCTGGACACCGGTACCCAAAGGTCTGCGGTTTTCCCACACCACCTCTGTGTCTTGCAGATCAGGCTTTGGCTAGTCGAAGGCTCCAGTTGGGAATTCCACAAGAAAATTCACCTGCCTATGCTTGGGCAACCTGACAGTATCGTGCCCACAAGCAAATCAGGGAGCTTTTTTCTATTTATTTAGATTATCCTGCTGTGATTCGCCTGGGACACAATTTGGACCCAGAGGCATGTGAAATATATAAAGATTCTTCTACTACGATTTCCTCAGTGCAGTTTGAAACCAGATCGGGTGTAAATAATAACAACGTTTAAACCAGAATTTCATCAGTTACTGTCCGGTTTGCTTTATTATGCATTTCATTCCTCACAATAAACGATTCCTCATTCTTTAGCTTTAGCTTCTGGATAAATAACAGTAACAACTGTGATAAACGGAGATGAGAATCACGACTTCCGAAAGACTGTCCAACTGGATGACTACCACCATAATTTGCAATGTTCCAAAATAAGGGGATGAAAAAACGTGTAATTTGATATCTAGTGACTTGTATCTAGGTTGGGAAATTTTATCCGACGAAGGCCAATAACGCTAATTTGATTTATCTACACTTGGATAAAGACAGGTGTGATGCAACAATGAAAATTTACAGCACAACTAAAATCGCCAACTCACCGCAGGTTGTTAACACATTCAACTAAACCTTGTCCCCGTAAATTATAAATCGTCCCTATTCCGTGAATGACGAAGAAAACGTGATCGATCGGTTTATGTTCGCCCTCATCCAACTGGTTTAACAATTGTTCATCCAGCCCACGTCGCACATGTGCAACACGACCGTCATGCTCCGAAATTGGTGTATGGGAATCCAGTCGAGCGGGGTCTGATGGAAAAATTGATGATGACCTGTCTTGTAAATCCGGCGTTGTGCCCGTGGCGCCGTATGCGTGTGGCCAGGCGCGATATTGCACCATGGACTAAATTTTTATGGCGAAAAAGCAGTAGTGATATGAGTTTCAAAATCTCATAAAAAGAGCTGTAGACGGAAGGTTGCAAACTGGTGAAACTGAAATGTTCTAAATCACAAGATTATATATATATATATAACGGTTAAGTTTACCCGAGGAAAACAAAACAGCTCATTGACTTGCCTGTGGGTTGTGAAAAATAAAACGATCTGAACCACCCCGAGGATCCTCTGCGGGTAGTTCAAACGGCTGACCCCAATGTCCGTTCTCCATGGCAATCTTGTACTGAGCCTCCAGAGATTCACATGTCGTTTCAGAGAACGGTAATACGCGTAATTCGTCGGGAAGTCTGAATACGACATAAAAATCAATTTTAAAACTGACATTCATAGCAAGTATTGCGTAATAAATACCGAGAATAATGTTCCTCGTTTGTAAAGGATAACGCTTCTAGTACACGCGAAAAAAATCGCTTCGGAATGTTACAAAGCCCCGGAACTTGAAGTGGAGAACACAATAAGGGCCCGATATGTTAGACGTAGTGTTAAACGGAACGACAGCAAAGGTTTATACCTCCCTGATAAAACAGTTGGCTATTGGGACACATCATCGAGCGGCGGAATACAGTGAAGCGAACTTCCCTGGTCGCTGCCAAGCTCATAATACATACAAGGTACGTAAGGAAGATACCGATTGGACTTAGTTTTGAGAACGGGGGATAAGAAGCGAACCTCTATCGTCAACACAAAGTACATAGTTCAACTGTACATACACACATACAAACTTCTGAGTGGCCTCCCATTCCCTGAGAATTGATGGCACAATTATGTATTCGATAAGGGGAAGTAAAAGATAAAAACAATTGGAAGATACACAAAGCATCAACGTATCAAGAGCTCAAGTGTGCTTGGTGCATCCTTCACAAATTAGGAAAATGTTGTTGATGTACTTCTTACTGCCTAGCTTTCTGTAGCTATTAATTTAATGCTAACCTTTGGAAACCACCTAGGGCGTCCTGCGACAATAGTCATCAGGAATGATAAAATACGGTATCTCTAACGAAAATCTCTGCTTGTTAAGAACAAGCCAATTAATTTGATATAGACTCTTATCTGACCAAAAGTGTGCCTAAAATAACCTTAGTATATTTAGAATCGTGCCAAATCTTGGTCCTATTCGGCGTTTTTCCTCCCAGTATCTCTTTCAGGGTTGCTTTGCAGCCGATAGAAACCTGTACGCATCTTTCTCATCCCTAAGCGAGGCCAACGCGGTAATCCCCAGAATTACCGCTACATTACCCTCGGCTCGTCCTTCGTTGAGGTCATGGAACTATTGGTTGCAAAACAACTTCTTAACAACCGTCAATGTGGCCTCCGCAGCCACAGATCCACTAGAGACCCGCTGGCGTATAAGTCACGCATTTAGCCTTTTCCACTAAACGTCAAAGCTGGTCGTATCTGGTCTTTTTCAATATTTCCATGGCGTCCGTTCTAGTCTGCCATGATCGACTCCGAGTGAAAATTCGCAAGTTAGGACTCCCCTCGTTTTTTACCACTTCGTTACGAAAGCTTCCTGTGTAACCGTTCAACCCCGGTTCGCGTTGATGAAGTCATTTCGAGAACAATCACAGCAAACTCTGACATCCCACAGGGTTCTCCTGAATGAATCTTCTAATCACAAACTCAATCCTAAACATGTTTTGCAGACAATGTCACTTCCTTTTTTAACATTCCTCTATCCCTATCAGCCACGACAGCTTATCTGCGCGTGCTTTACCTCATTCACAATTCAGTGTCGTCACAGCTTGGGGGCACTAAAAATCCAATTATTTTCAACGTAACCAAAACCTCATGCATGTCCATATTCAGAAAGCCGAATCCCTGCACTCCCAATCTGCGTTTTGGATGTTAATCACTTCGTTAGATGTATACAGTTTACTCGGTCTCCTCATATTGTTGAACAGGTATCCGGTGCGTCTGCGAAGACTTCCTACCTTTTCTGAGCGAAACGGTTTCCCGTATAATCACACTTTTTAAATGACCCCAAGTCGTCAGCAGATCTGAAGGTCTCTGTTTCTTTGGCACTTTTGGACTATGACCCTACGCCATTCACCTTGTCTCGAATTCGTCCTTAACATCCACTCTTCAAACACTTGATTATCGCCATGCGATCCTCTCTTCGTTCCTTTTAAACCGTTATTACAACAGATTTTTATCAGTGAAGTTAGCCTTACTTCTGTTGGAGGTTTGCAAGACGACGCCTGAGGACCTTCACTCTCTACAACGGAGAAAATCTGGTTAGTGTCAAACCAACCCGATCGTTCTTTAATTTACTTAAATCTAGTGCTAACTATTACGCCTGGCTTGTCTATTTCTATTGCAGATCGTTTCATTAACCCGGATCCACCGGTTTGCGATAGTTTGTTTCAATTAGAACTAAATTCAAGAGTGGTCAAACAAACAACTGGCATGAGGGTATGAAAACTCTAACCAGGAGACTAAGTCGCATAGGCCCCGTTAGACTCCCTGGCTGGGGATCTCGGGATGATGGTCACCGACGGTTAGGGAAACTGAGCGATATGGTTGATTGTCGCAAACAGTGGCGCTCATGCTTCCACTCATTATTCCCCTAACGCCATTCTATACGAATTCTCCATCTTCCGCTTGAATTTGCTTTCAACATTCCAATCTTCATTCTGCTCTTTTATCCAAATGTGGCACCAAAAGACTGCAACCAAAACCGGTGCACGAAAGTGAGTGGTTAATGGTTGTACAGACTGAAACTGCAATTCTGCTTTTAAGAGACTTTCTCTCACAAGAGAGTAAATATACTACATCGATATTGTGGACCATGTCCGTCTGGGCGTATTCGAGTGCAGTTCGGCAAGTACCATGATTCGTTTTGTTTTGACCAGAAATCTCCTGCATATGGCTATAGACTGTGCCGGACCAAGGCGACGCAACGAAGTTCTATGAACAGGCACTGTTCACTGGCTAGATAAACAACTCCGGTCTCCATGGTGCGACGCTGAGCAACAAGGCGATAAGAGCTATCGGAATTCGGTGATCGGTGGGCAAAGTACAACGGCCCCCTAGACATGCTTCTGATAAGCTGTTTAACTGACGCGTTAAAATCGTCTGCCAGCACAGCCTCCGTTCAGTCCAATGAGCACGAGTTCGATCTCTGATACGCCCGTTCGTGTAACGAGGTTGCTTTTTGACAGCGCATATCTCGTGATGAACAAGCAGTTTTTGAGGTCGCTTCTCTTT